CCTTCTGTCGGGGCTCCCCGTGTACAGGGCCTCTCAGTAAGGCAGCCGAGCTGCATGAGCCATGGGGGTCCCCAGGCTGGCTCCCCCCACGTGGACTCCTCATGCCTGCTCACGCCTCCCAGCACCCCACTTGGCCTGGAGCCTATTGCCCCTGACTGGCCCGAACCTGACAGCACCTGTGGGAAGGCGCTCCTGGAAGCAGGGAGGAATGGATTGAGTGGCTTCGAGGGACCACCTCTGGAAGGTGAGGCCCACCCCCAGGCTCATGCCTACACCCCAGTCCCCAGACCCTGCTGGCGCCTGGGCAGGTCCCCTCGGGTCATTCCACCCACAGTCCTGGTGGCGCGTTTGGCCGGGCTTCTCAGTACCTACCTGCTCTTTTTCACCTGTATCCCTGGGCATTGGAAAGGGATGAGGCCCAGGCAGTGGGGACCCCCTGGGGGCCTGAGGGTGTTGTTCCACCCAGGATAGGGGCAGGGATGGCTCGGGAGATGTGCATTCAGCATCGGAGATGGGGTAGACACCGGAGGCGGCCGAACTGAGGCCGCTGGGGGCAGGGAGGCAGTGTGTGCATGTGTGTGTGTGGCTGGATGGGCTGTAGGTGAAGCTGATCAAGGGTGAAGCCACCCCTGCCAAGCCCAGCGGGGCACTTGGCAGAGCTCCTGCCGAGGTGGGAGTGTGTCCTGAGGACAGGGGTCACCTGGTGAGCTGCTGCTGAGGTAGGAAACCTGCTCAGGTGTGCTGGGATCAGAGCCCCAGGGCTGTGAGGAGGCCACTCGGACCAGGCCCCGGCTCTGCCAAGGCCCGGCCTGATCTTGTGGAGAAGGCATGGGCCCCTGAGGGTGCTGAGTGGGGGCCGCAGAGCCAGAGAGAGCCCTAGCCCAGGGTGGGGCAGGCTCCCTGGAGTCCTCGTGTGGCAGGGAGCCCTTGATTGGCAGGGTGCTTAGAGGTGCTGGGAGAGGGCAGGGGGCTGGGGAGGCCTGGGAGAGCAGACTTGGGCAAGAGCCTGAGCAGAGCCCTCTCTCAGCCTCTGGGAACAGCCAGCCTCTGATGGGCCAGTGTCCTGGGGCAGCCACGGTGGGGAACAGAGGTGTCCCTTCCAGGTGCATGGGGTGTGGCCCACAGCCCCAAAGAGGCATATCATTGGAGCTGCATGAGTGCTTTCCCCTGTGGAGAAGTGGCTGAAGAGGACACCCCTGGGCCCCTCACCCCAGCCCACCTTTTCTTGCCCCCAGGAGATTGTGCATCCCCCGAGGATGACCAACCCCCTCCAGCCCCCTCCAGCGGCAGCTCCAGCACTGAGGACTTCTGCTACGTGTTCCTGGTGGAGCTGGAGCGCGGCCCCTCTGGCCTGGGCATGGGCCTGATTGACGGGATGGTGAGGCCTGCCTAACCCTGCAGCCCCAGTCACCTCCTGTCAAGGGGCCACATCTTGTGGACAGGCCCCCAGCCTGTGTGGTCACCACGAGAGGAAGACAGGGAGGCCCACCGAGGGCTTGGGGCAGGGGCTTGTCAGGGGCATCTCTGAAATTTGAGAGAAGGGAAGGGGTTTTGACATGCAGCAGCCACTCCCCTAGCCTGCTTTGCTGCCTCTGCTCAGACATCTGTGTCTGTCCTGGGCCTGTGGGGACAGTGACATGTGCAGGTGTCCTTGTAGACACACTGATGACCATACAAGCGAGCCCTTCCAGGGATCCCCAAGCTGCAGGGGCCACAGACCTCTGAAGCTCTGCTTCCCCCCAGCACACGCCACTGGGTGCCCCTGGGCTGTACATCCAGACCCTGCTCCCGGGCAGCCCCGCAGCGTCGGAGAGCCGGCTGTCACCCGGAGACCGCATCCTGGAGGTGAACGGCAGCAGCCTGCTGGGCATCAGCTACCTGAGGTATGGCGGCCTTCCTGCGGGGCTGGGTGGGCAAAGCCACCTGGGCTGGGCCAGGGCCCCCGCATGATCAGCCTCGCCTACTCCCCGATCCCACAGGCGGTCCAGTCATTGCCCCATTTTAGAGATGAGTAAGTGGAAACATGGCCCTCCACCTGCTCTCTGTATCCACCTCTCCCCCTTCCCTCCCCTCATTAGACCTCAGATGACAAAGCAGCCACCCAGGGGCTGGGGGCAAGGGCAGCAGTGTGAGCACAGGATCTGCCTCGTGACCCCGTGACCCCTAACACTGTCTCTGCCAGGGCTCAGTGTTAACTGTAAGGCCACTGCACCCATTCCGGGGGAGCACGTGATGGCCAGGCCCACACCCCGCCCCGTCAGCAGTGGGTGACAGCTGGGGTGGAGGGTTGGGTCTGCCCCAGGGCTCCTCCAGAAACTGGGTCCACTGCAGCTGGATGGCTGCCTGCGAGCTGGTCCATGCTCTCCATACCCCTCATTGGGTTGCAGAGCAGTGGATCTGATCCGGCATGGGGGCAAGAAGATGCGGTTTCTGATTGCCAAATCTGATGCGGAAACGGCCAAGAAGATCCACTTCCGCACACCGCCTCCCTAGGTGGGCCTAAGGATGCCCCCAGTGCATGTTGCCCTGAGGTCCTGCCAGCTTGTTCCTGTGTGGGTTCCTTGCCCTGTGGACAGTGTACATCTTATTGTATATTTTATTTATATGACAGATAACACTAAGTTGTGATGTTTGTTGTAGAGCTTTGTTTGAATATTTTAATGGAGAACAGATTCAATAAACTATCTTCCATATTCTTAGAGCAGGTGCTGCGTGGAGTCAGGGTGGGCACTGTGCCAGACTCCCCAGGGCCCAGAGGGATGGCTGGGGGCTCCACAGGAACCCCTTCCCTCCCTGCCAGTGAGGGAGAGACCCTGGGAGGACAGGGGGATCACTGTGATGACAGAATGGTTTTAACTAACTTGTCTGCCTCCACCCTGCCCACTATCAAGGAGTGGCAGGGACATGCCAGGGACACCCCAGCATCCCCAAAAAGGGCTGGAGCTGCCAGCCAGGTGGTTTGCTCTTGGTAACTACATGCTCAGTACAGTCCCAAGAAAGGGTCTAGAGGCCCCCAGAAAGTTATAAAGTGAGAGTCCTGCCCAGGCCTCCTCCCCCAGCACTCCCACCCCACTTTCCTTCCTGACCCCTGACGCCACGGCCTGGCCCTAATATTAGGCTCTTCATCTGTGGCCTGGCTGGCGGCTACCTGGTCACTGTGCCTCCACGCTGGCAGGAGGCCCGCCTCCTTCATCCAGCTGACCATGTGCAGGACAGTGTTGGTGTGATGATAGCGGGGCTGGGACACCCCCAAACTGTGCTCAGCAGGTTCAGCTGCGTGATGGCAGGCATGCAGACGGTTCCCGTGACCTCTTCACAGTGCACAGAGCTTGTGGCTGGGCTCTGGGCCGGGGTCCTCATCGTTGGCAGGAACAGAGACCCAGGGCCAAGGGGATCCTGGCCAGTCCGCAGCAGATGCAGCCCTCACGTGGAAAGGGGTAGGTGGGGGGGTGCCCAGCCCTGGCGCAGTGTCCTGGGTCCTCCTGGCGCCCTACGCCCGCAGCTCCATGCTGCCCCCTGGTGAGCGCAGCCGAGAGGCACGGGAGCATCTGCCCAGGCTGTGGGCGGCTGCTCAGGGCAAGGCTCCAGGGCTACACTACCAAGTTCCCAAAAGGCGAGGTAAAATGTATTTTTCAGAAAGTCATTTTAAATGTGTGACAACCTAAAAAGAAAATGTACGGCTTAACCTAAAATCCTTAGAGCCCAAAACAAGTTTGTGGAGACTGGTGGCCGGCCTGAGGCCTGCTGAGTTAACTGGTCTCAACCCTTCACCCCACTGCTCTGCGGGGGAGTCAGGGCTGGCCATCCAGGCTGCAGAGCCAAACGGGGGACCCCACGTGACCACAGAGCCCCTGGGAGATGGTGCACCCGCAGTGTCAGGCCGTCGGAGCTTACACACCAAGCCCTCCGAGCATGTCACAGGCGTTAACATGGCTAATTCTCACATCAGTTCCTTTGGGTCAGGACTGTTATTCCCATTTCTCAGAAGAGGAAACTGGAGTGCTGTGAGATTGTGATTTTCTCCATCATCAGCCGGTGCCATAATAATGCTGTGAGGAAAAGTCACAGATGCAGGGTCTGCAAAGTCATTTGCCCCCAGCCCTGCTGGAGTTGGTACCGGGTAGCATCTAGGAGGGCACCATGCGTCTGCCACCCTGTGGCCCAGGAGTGTTCTTCCTGGAGTAGCTACACCGTGCTAGGCAGCAGCCCACCTCCCAGGCCACATTCAGCTGCCCTCACTCCTGCTGACAACCTGCTGGCCAGGTGGGCAGCTCACCCAGACCCCCAGGCCACAGCACGGCGAGCGTGAGGATTACAACCCCAGGAGTGAAGAACAGAGACCAAGGATTCAGTCTAATAGGCGGCGGCCAGCCAGGATTTGAAGCCGGTAGTTGGACTCCAGACCCTCGGCCACCACAAGCCTGCCCTGCAAAGGAGATGGCCCTGGTCCTCAGGATTGGGACTCGCAAACTAGCTCATATGTAGGTTTGGAAAACACCCTGAGCTGAGCACTAATTGAAAGTAGCACCCAGCAGCTGGCAAAAACAATAGCATTTTCCCTAGATGAACTTACATCTTCAACCGTGCCCCCTGGACTTGCCAAAGGTTGAGTGGGGTCGGATGGGCCGGCAGCGCGGCAGGAGGCTTACTGAGTAGCAGCGCCACCTGGTGGCAGGACAGTCCCAGCACAGGCGGAGCCTTGGAGGGGGCGTCTTGGGGCAGCGCTGACTTAAAATGCACAGCGGTAGAAGCGCTAGGGCTGTGGCGTCTCCCCCACTTGGGATAACGTGAAAGGGCACCTGGATTTGCTCTGTGTAGGGCTCCTGGTGGCGGGGTCCCTGGTAGCCCTGGCTGGAGTCCTGTGCTTGGCCCCTTACATCCCCAGGGCCAGCCCTCCCCGCCCAGCAGTACAGGGCAGCAGCTAGGCGGCTGCCTGCTGGGCCCCCTTCCTGGCCTTCCCCAGGCTGAGGAAGGGAACAGACCCTGCATGTTCACACAGATACTTCCAAAAGGAGATTTATTGTTGCTGTGTCTCTTCTTGCCCCCAACCTGCCCAAAACAAGGAACAGCAAGACCCAGAGCAGACAGCTCAGGTCCAGCCACAAAGGGCGAGAGCTATAATCAGAGCTGTTTCACCACACAGCCCAGCATGGTCACGGGAGAACTGGCTTGGGAGAGAGAGGCGAGCACCCCAAGGAGACGGTGACAGGCGTGAGTGCTGAGGGCCAGAGGCCCACGGGGGCTCCTGCTTTCCTCCCTGAGCACGGGTGCCACGGCTTGGCTGCTAACCAGGCTCTGGATCTGCGGCCCCAGCTGGCGCTCACCTGGTCACTGTGCCTTCCCCTGGCAGGAGGCCTGCCTCCCTCTCTACCAGCCGGCTGACCGTGCGTAGGGCCAGAGGCAAGGCTGTGTTGGTGTCACGGTGGTAGCGGGGCTGAGACACTTCCACACTGGGTGTGAGCACGAACTGGGCCACGCTGGGCATCTTCAGCAGGTTCAGCAGCTCCGTGGCCCGTGTGCAGACGGCTCCTGAGGCATCCTCGCAGTACATGGAGCTCGTGGCTGGGCTCTGGGCCAGGGTCCTCATCTTTGACAGGAACAGAGACACCCTGGGGACGAGGGGGCCCAGCAGTGCGGCTTCAGCTCGGAGAAGTGAGGCGGAGGCACCGACATGCCGCCTGCGCCCGCCCAGAGCCTCTGGCCTGCAGACGCCTGGTCTGCAGCTGGGACAGGGGGACCTTGGACATTGCTTCCTTCTCCACGGGAAGCCTCTGGGCTCCCTCTTTACACCCCCGGATGGTACCTGGGGATCAGGTCTTGGCTCCGGGAGGCCAGCTTGGTCAGTGTGGTCATGAGCACGGTGGCAACATGCGGTGGACACTTGGGAAGGGCAGCTGAGGGGCGGGACTGGGTGACCTCAAACAGCAGGGCCTCCAGGACTTCGAAGAACCTGTTGATCTGCTCCACAGTGCACCGCCGGTCCCAGGACACCGCCAGGTACTCACCGATAGCCCACACCTGGCAGGGACACATGTCGGTCCCACGTCCAGGCCCTGCTGTGTCAGGGGCTGGAGTACGTGGTTGGGAGCCTTACCACGGAGGTGCACATAAGTCCTGTGCCGAGGGGGCTGCTTGCGCTTCCCACGAACTCCAGCAGCTCTTTGGCCAGCTCGACCACCAGGACGGGGTGCAGCTTACAGAGGGCCAGGAACTGCGAGCTCAGCACTCTGCCCAGAGAGGACATGCATGAGCTGCAGCACAGCCCCACAGACCCGGCCCCTGCCGCCCAGAACACGAGCCAGGAAGTGAACAGGAAAGCCTCTGAGCGCCAGGTGGAGGTGAAGGTCCCCAGAGGGCCTGGGGCTTGGCTGCCTGTCCTCCATCCTGGGCTTGCGAGTGGAGGGGGACCAACTTGCATGTGTCAGACCTTCTGGAATGGGAGGGCGACTGGAAGGCACTGCAGAACAGGGACCTGGCCTGCTCTGAAGACAGCAGGCAAGAGGGAAGGAGAGGGCGCTGGAACATTCAGGACTGGGACGTAGGGGTCTGTACAGTAACCCAGGAAGAGCCTGGCCTGGAGATGGCACTGGGGGTGGCAGCCTGGCAGAGGGGCTGAGGGCCACCAGGGACTGGTGAGTGGCACCGTGGTAGCTGCATGGGAATGGGGAGGATCCAGGCTGTGATGAGCTATGCGTAAGGAGTCACTGAAGAAAGCACAGGGCTGGGGCCATGTGGCTGCAGGACAGGTGAAGTCCGCAGGGGTTGACAGGAGGAGCGCACCTGTGCACGTGGGCTTCATACTGTGGGACCTGGTACAGCGAGTTGCTTCTCTCCAGGAGCAGCAGGGCCAGCTGATTGGCTAGGGCCCCATCTGCAAACTGGGGGTCAAAGTGAGACAGACTATGCAACCTGGCAGCCAGGCCCCTGCTCAGGGCCAGCGTGTGCACCCTTTCCTGTGACTCTCGCTGATCTTCAGCCATATCCACCCCTTAGCCACCAAGGAATTGGAGGCTCCACAAAGGTCAGGGGTGTGGCCATGGCCCTCTCTCTGGGTGGCCCCTCTGCCGTGTGGAGGATCTGGGAGGCAGACTCACCTCGGTCACTGCTGAGAAGAAGGCCTGGAGCAGGGTGGGCACCGCCTGGGCACACTGGACCACCCGGGCACAGCTGGCCATGGGCTGCAGCAGCTGGTGGAGTGGGGCCAGCCTGGGACACAGCACAGCCCACTGAGCACCCACCAGCCTGCTCCCCAGCCCCACCCAGTACAGGGACACACTCTGGACATGAATCCATGTGGCCCCACAGGCCAGTGGGGTGCCGTGACCTGGGCCAGGTTCTGCAGCCATGCACACTGCCCTCCTCAAGGGGGGTCACCCTGTTCCCAAGCACACCCTGTGCTGACAGGCCCGCTCCTGTCATCAGCCACCTACTCCTGGGACGGCCTTGCTCCCTGGGACCCAGGGAGGCTGATGTGGGACTGAGCTGCAAGGGGCCTGGGTCCCAGTCCTGGCTCTCCTGCTCTGGGGGTGCCAGGCCTCAGTTTCTCCTTCTGTAGACTGGAGGCGTCATGGCACCTACCTCCCATGGTTACGAGGATTCAGTCAAGTGGCTGGGGAAGAGCTGGGCCTGAAGCCTGGTGGAGGGGGCCACAGCTATGTCTCCAAGTCAAGAGGCCCGAGGCCTGGGGTAGACCCCAGAGCCCAGCTCCCTGGGATAGGCTCCAGCTGCCCACAGCCTGTGCTAAGGGCTCAGGATACTCCTGTGTCCTCTACAGGGTCGTGGGCCTGGGCCACCCAGCAGGAGCCCTACCCTGGGGGTCCCTAGCAAGAGTGGCCCCTACCGCTCTGTGGTTCCACTGGCTGTGGCCCGTAGCAGGTACTGGAAGAGGGGCTGGAACTGTGGGTCCCGGAGGGCCTCCAGGCAGCTGGGGGCCCTGAGGGAGGCATCCCAGAGCGGCCTCTCAGATGCAGCTGGTGATGACCTGTGTGAGAACAGACACCCCAGGCTGGACTCAGACACAGGCATGGAGCAACTGAGGCCTGGCTCAGTTCCTGCCTTCATGGACACCCACTGGCCAAGGAGAGATGAGATGTATGGCTGAGTGAAAGGCAGGTCGGGGGCCCTGGGCCCAGAGAGTTGCTCTGCATCAGAGGTGGCTCCCACAACAGCCAGAGGAGGAAGGAGGAGGGTCCCGTGCTGGAGGGGCAGGCAGAGGGGGGGCACAGGGTCGGTGATGGCGAGGAGAGGGGTGGCTTGTAAGACGAGGCAGCACAGGCAGAGCACTGATGGGCTAGCGGCGGTCCGGGCTCACCTGAGATGCAGGTCCAAGGCCACGGTCAGGCACGGCAGGTCCAGCAGTGCATGCAGCATCTCCACAGCTGTGCCGGCGTCCACCAGCGCTGGAAGCAGCACCACGAACTCGGAGGTGAGGGGCGGGCTGTTCCAGGCCAGGAACTGCAGGGACAGCGGAATCAGAGGGGAGCCAGGGGGGCATGTGGGTGCACATCCCGGCCGCAGAGCGTCAGGTGGGGACAAAGCCAGAATCGGCCACCTCATGCGCTGCTGTTGGCCAGGAGCTGTGGTGGCCCTTTGCACTGTGACCCAGGGGCCAAAACACCCCATTTGTTTTTTCCCTTCATTAGGGCCTTTATTGCTACTGTGTTAACTTTACGCCCCCAGTTAAATCAACTACTTCCACTTATCATAGTTGTTTCTAGAAAAGGATGAGCCCTCCAATGGATTTTGAGAAAGCTACACAGTGACATACGTCACAGACACACCAGAAGCCCTTGGCACCAAAGGGCTGAACACACCCGGTGAGGCCCCAGGTGAAGGGATTTTCCCGGGTGCTAAAATCTGAACAAATTCTATGAGAACCAAACCACAAAGTCAGCCCTATCAGCCCTTCCCAGGAGGACTGGCGCGAGGCCTTCCCAGGCTGCGATGTGTAGGGAGAGGTGTGGCACCTGGGGCTGCCCCGCAGTCCCCCCACCCTGTGTTCCAGGCCTGGGAGGGCCCGGGCCATGGTCACAGCCACGCTTCACCTGCAGGCTCCTGGGCAGAGAGCACAGCCTGGGGGCACTGAGCACTCCTACCCGGCACCCCAGGCCCTCACTGGCCCACGGATGCCGAGCATGCCTTGAAGAGGTTGGGGAAGCTCAGTTTGAGAATGCCACGGTTTCTGTCAAACAGGGGAAGGTTGTCCCTGCAGAACTGGATGAACTCGAAGGCCAGCATCGGGCTATGGAAGAGTTCGGAAGGGATCCTGGTAAACAGATGCTGGTAGATGGCTTCTGAGTCCACTGCAGCAGCCTCCCCTGAAAGGCATGAGGCCCCATCAGGGCAGAAGGCCCCAGACAGGAGTCCCCCTACCATGAGGACACCCCTGCTGCCGTTAGAGCCCTCAGAGTCTCCACAGGCTCAGAGACGTCCAGCCTGCAGGAGAAAAGCTAGTGGAGCAGCGCTCGGCTCTTCCCAAGTGCCTCTGGCCACAGACCGATTCCTCTGAGTAACATGCGGAACGTTCTTCGGGAGAAGCGGGCTTCAGGGCACCTTCCACCAGACTCATGAACTCTCATGGCAGAGTTCTGAGACAGAAAGCTGACAGCACTTAGTTGGCTACATAAATCCATTTTAAAACTGCCACCATCTACTGCTAACAGTCTATCCCAGCAATGCCACTCTACAAGGGAATGAGAGCAACATGGAGAAAAGCTGCCCTTTGGCATGAGCTGTGCTGTCTTGCAGAGGCCCAGCAAGCTCCAGGGGCCTCACGGGCCTACGTGGCAGGCTCACCATGGTTCAGGAAGAACTGGGCAATGGGCAGCAGTGCCTGCACGCACGCCAGGTCCCCACACAGCCGCGTGTGCAGGGCCTTCAGGCAGGAGAGGGTGCGGTACAGGAAGGAGGGGTCCTGCCTGCAGAGCACGTCCAGCACCAGCAGGGCCTCCACCAGGCACTGTGGAGACAGTGGCTGCGTTTGGAGGGGGCCTGCACCAGCCCCGCCCTGCCCACCCCCATCCCACCCCGTCTGGCGGGCACTTACCGCTTTCTGCAGGTCGGAGTCGCCCTTCCTCAGGGCTCCTGGGGAAGTAAGAGAATCAACTGGTTTCTTCGGCAGCATCAGAACAGCCAAACGAGAGGCGCACTATGTTCTGCAATCTCAAAGAGAGGGCGGTGGACCCCACAATGGGCAGAGCAGGTGCCCCAGGGCAGGTGTGAGGCGGGGATGGATGCCTGGTGGGCAGGGTTTGTTCTGTCCAATGTCCAGGCCTCTGGGGCTTATCCTGGAAACCAAGGCCCCCAGGGAGACAGCTGCTGGGGCTCCAGCCCCCACTCCCTGAGCAGCCCAGGCACCCCTGTGGCCAGGGAGACCACGTGGGGACTCACGTCGGCTGCTCTGCTCGATGAGGCGCTGGCAATACTCAAAGGCCTTCTCCCTCAGCTGCTCCTGGGGCGGTAGCAGGCGGCTGGCGGCGGAGGTCGCAGAGAGCACAGACAGGGTGGAGCCCTCCAGCTCAGACTTGTCATCTGGGAGCGAGGGCAAGCGCTCAGCAGGACGTGGGAGCTTTGCACATGCAGGCCACCGGCCAGAACACAAGGAGGGTCTTGGGCACGGACTAGCCAGGTGTGGGCAATGCCCAGCCCCAGCTGCCCACACCCCCACAGGCCACCCCAGGGAGTTCAGGCTCTCAGGACTGCTCGGCAGTTTATAGAGGCCTTTGTCAAGCTCTCCCAACAATCTTGTTGATGGCTGCCCTGAATGATCCCCTTGGCTTCTCCGACTTGTCTGGGAAGGCCGCCTGGTATCGAGGAGGCTCAGCCACAGTGGCCAATGTTGCCCAGGGGCCCATCAGGTCCCACTGGCCTACTTCCCGAGTCCTGCCTGCATCCCACCTGTGTCGGGGGTGCTGGGACCCTCAGGGCAGCTGAGTAGCAGCCACGCCCTCAGCATGGAGAAGGCCTGCACGTTCATCCACTGGTCCTCTGTGAAGTGCTGCCCAGTGGACAGCACCGTGAAGAAGTCTGTGGCCACTGCCCCATCGACCTCGGTGACAGGACCTGGCTGCAGGAGGCAAGGAAGGGCAGGTAGCATGGCAGGATCCCCGGGTGGGGAGGCGGGGGGCTCACAGGCACTGGGGGTGGGGCGGAGGAGAGGCTGCGTGGGAGTGGGAGCTACCACCCTGAACGAGGTCGCCCACCCTGCTCTAGAACCAGGGGCACCCACCCTTGTAAGACACATAATTGCTGGCACCCGAGTTAAGAACACAGCCCTCTATAAGTGATGGGCGACCCCCACGACCTCTTGCCAGCAGGTCCTGGGTCTCAAAAGACCCACCTAGCATCACAGGCTGGGGGGCTGTGACCCTGTGTGACCTCCCTCCCCCAAGTGGAAATGGACGGGGGATTGTTCTGGAACCAGGGCAGGTGGAAGGACAGTTAGCGGGACCCTTTGGGAGCCCCAGGACAGGGAGGCTCTGAGGCTCTATGCCTCACCTGCCGGGTTCTGGATGTGGAGAAGAAGCCTCCAGAGGAATGTGTGACCCCCTGCTGGACACTGGCGTAGCGGAGCCAGTCCACCAGCCTCTTGCTGAGCAGGTTGATATGGTCTACGGAGGGGAGTGGGGAAGGGAACAACACGGTGGGAACTGTGCAGTCCCCAGGCTCAGGCTGCAGGTGGCACTAGCAGCCTTTCATGAAAGTGAGCAGCTGCTGGGGACATGCTGTGCCCTCAGGAAGGGCGAATACCTTCACTGAGGGTGCCCGGGGCCAGGCTGGTGACCTTCCACACGACCGGGAGGAGGTACCGCAGGCTGGGCCCCTCGGGCTGCCGGCTCTCGAGGACCTTGAATGCCTGCTGGCTCACGCTTCTGACCACCTCCTTATCACCCTTCAAGTCAAACACAGGTAGAACGTGATGTGCCACCAGGCCCAAGTGCCTGGACAACGAGTCATTTGGTCTGAAAACATCTGGGGACTGTCGAATTCAGAAGATTGCTGCTCAATCAGTGTCATCACATGACGCCACCGCTCACAGGCATCTGGGAACGTCACCAGAGCAGCCCAGACCCTGTGGTCTGAAGTAGCCTTCACAGCATCCTGGCCACTGCCCTAGGAGTGAGGGGTTAGGAAGGAGGCAGGGGAGGGAGCAGCTGGGTATCTCTGCTCATTCCAGATGTATCCTTGCGCTGGTGGCAGGGCAGCCCCACAGCGGCCACAGAAACTGCCGAATGGAAGGGGAAGCAGAGCCAAGCCTGCCACGTGACAAGTCAGTGCCGGCAGGGGGACCACACGCCAGCACCAGGGCCACCCAGGGCAGGGCGACATACCTGGGCAGTGACAGTGATGTTACCTGGGCCAAGAGAACGGAGGCCACCAGGCTCAGCTGCCGGCTGTTCTGGACGTGGTCACAGGACAGGCTCAGGCTGTCGGAAGGTGACATCTCTCTCAGGACGGCGACACAGAGAAGCTGCAGCTGCTCGGGGCACGTGGGCAAGTAGAGGGTGGTCTGCAGCAAGTCCACACAGGTCTTCTCCAGCCTGGGGCGGCAAGGCGATGGGGGGGGGGCATCTCACCACAAGAGCACCGGCCCCCCCCAGGGCTCCCCCTCCCCAGAGAAGCTGCCCAGGGCCCTCGGGCAGGTGCAGAGAGCTCTTTATATCTGAGGCACTGGTTTAAGTAGACACAAGTCTTAAACACCAAAGGGATGCTGGCGCCTGCCTGCCAGGTGCTAATGAGGTGTGCCCCATGGCTGCACATGTCGGGAGCTCAGCCCCGGGCCCACCATAACCCGCAGATGATCACACTCACTTCCTGTTGTATTTCGTGGCCGAGACGATGAGGAAAAGCCTCTGCAGGGCATCAGCGGTGTCAGGCCCCAAGTCCTTCTGCAGCAGCTGACTGACCCGGGAGCAGAACCTCCTCAGCTCCTCGCCGCGGATCTCCCTAGGCAAAGGGGACCATGCTGGCAACCTGGGGTCGAGGGTCCCACCACCCTGCAATGTCTCGCAGGATAAATTTGCTGACTGGTCATCTGGAATGGTTCCTCTCCCCTGGGATCCAGCGATCCACTGGGTCGCTGCCGCCTCTGCTGGGCAGGGCTGCTGGGGAGACCACCCCTCCAATGGGTTACAACAACAGGTCTCATTAATGGAGCCTCCCTGCATTCTGATTTTGTATTCCAGGAACAGAACTAAAACTGACTGAATTTAGAGCCAAAGGTAAGGGGAAGTTTAGTATGAAATTAGTTGTTTTTCAAAAGATGCCTTCAAAGAGCCTTTAACTTTTGGGAACAAGAGTTAAATCTTACATATTAATGGGCTAATATTATGACACATTGAAAGGTTTCTGACTCTGACACTTATTTTGATTAAAAAATGTATCTATTGAGCACTGACAACAGGCAAGATATTGAACAGAGTCTCCAAATGGAACCCTAAAAGGCAAGAAAAGGGAACATGCCAACGAGTCCCTGTACTGGGGACCTTGGGTGGGGCTCTGGGAGAAGGGCCATCTGTGCTTTCCCTGTGTGTCCACTCCCCAGGCTGTGGCTGAAGGCCACTAAATCCATTCTGGGAATCTGGAACTTTGAACTGAGACAGACAGAACTTCCCCAGCACTGGGGCTGACAAGAAGGTTCCTGAATGCCTGGAGCTGGGGTCCTCATTTTTTGTTCTCGCTTGAAGGCTGGCAGATAAAATCCCAATGAATTCTCTTCCACTCCTTGCCTCCCTCCTGCCCCCCTGTCCCCATTTTCATTTTTTACTCATAGCCAGAGTTGGACTTGGTCACTTACAAACAAAAGAACATCCCAGTGGGATGAGGGGGAGGCAGACAGACGGGAAGCCAGGTCCCAGTCTGTTTCTCACTGGGATAATGAGGTGGGAAGAGGCTGCCAGGTGCCTCCCAGGTGTAACAGGGCTCTTTCCCAGAACCGTGGCATCCTTGTCCTACAGTAATCCCTTCTGATGTAGTCTCTAAATCACAGGATTGCTTCTAAAAGGGCTGTTGCTCAAACTCCCACAGCTCCCTAGGGCTGTCAGTCTCTAAACTCCTACAGACCCTAAAGACGCATCCAGGGCCCCTCCCCTCCTGACTTCTCTAAGAGCTGTCACTCACTGTTTCTCTTGCTTCTGACCCTGTGTACAGACCCTCTGCCGGAAACATTCCTGGCTTCTTCCCTTCTGGGTTAACTCCTCACTCATCCTGGGCATTCTGGGAACCACCGCTGACCTTGCTGCACACCCTGTCTGCCCTGATCTGAGTCCCATCTTCTTCACTTAGTCTTCAGCTTACCAGAGCTGCTTCTGTTAGCTTTCACCACCCCTAATTTCCATCTCTGAAAAATTCAGAGAAAACTAAAATTCATTCCAAATCCTAAGTCCCTAAGCCATAGCCATTTATTTTAGAGTACCAAGAAAAACCACAGGCTTAATTAAAGTAAAATGCAAAGCGAAACTTGGTAGTTATTAACTTCCCTCAAAGCCTAACAGAGAGGAATTGTAGGATGCATATAGTTTGCTTCTGGGTATTTGACCACACCCACCCTCACTTAAGACAGAGAAGCATTTCAATAGTGAGGGCTGTTCCTTCCGCCTGTCATTCCATGAATGTATGACCCTGAGTAGAAGGTTAGCTGGCAGGGGTAAACCCAATGAAATTCTGAGGGGGCTCTCAGAACCCGTCTCTTGGCAAGAACTTTGGGATGAGCACATCCCATTTTGAGTGAGATGTTAGTATTTAAAGATATTTTCATTTAAGATAGCCTCTAAATTCAAATTCAAATGAACCTGTACTGGAATACTGTAACTTGAATACAGGAATATGTGTCCAATCTTGAAGGAAAGACAGACTGCTGAATGTACTGGGAGATGGTGCTGCAAATCCACGAGGCACTTTCCTAACAGATTTTCAAGAGTCATTTTGACCACAGATTTCTGTCCTCTTCACTGCCTTTAGAACCTAATCTGCATTCAAGTTCTTGCTTTACTATAATCACAGCAGCTGCAACCATCCTAATCTTTCCCACCAACTGGTCCACCACCGTCCAGTTTTGGGTTTTTAAAAAAAGTTTAGCATGGGCTTGTGGTTCGGCCTGCATTTTTTTCTTTTAAACAAGCAGCATCAAGTCGACTGTCTGATGGACTACACGGTTTTGGTCCAAGCCTATATTCTGCTTTCTCCCATGCCTGGTTAGTTGGTGAGGAAGGGGCTGCCGACTAGTTAGTGGGAGGGAGATCAGAGCCAGCTCCCGCTGGAAGACGGCGGGTAATTCTTAGCCCATCCAATGCATCCGCGTGAGAGTGGTCTTCCTAAATCACAAAATCCTCCCCTGCCTCCTCAAGGCCCTCAGCTGTTACCGAATTCCTGAGCCTGGCACACGGAGCTAGCCAGGGCTCAATCCCAACAGGCTCTCCAGCACTGCGCGGCTTTGTGCTCCTGACCCTGAAGCAGCTGGCAGCCCCTGCCGGGCGTGGGGTTCTCACCGCCAAGCCGTGGGCCAAGCAACCGGCGGTCACCGCCGGCTTCGTTTCCGCTCACCCTTCGGGCGACACCTGCTCGGGGCCGGCTCGTCCCTCTCCAGACCTCCCCGCCGGGTGCCGGGCCGGCGTGGCCCCCGTCCCTCGCCCTGAGACCACCACTAGGTGCAGCCCGAAGGGAACGGCCGGGGCACCTGGCCTGGTGGAGCAGACTCTCCGCCCCCGCCGAGAACATCCCGCCGCCGCCGCCGCCGCCGGGAACGCCGCCCACGCGCTCCCGCCGCTCCGACCTCCAGGTGCGCGGCCCGCAGCCCCGCCGGCTTCCGGGTCGCGTCACGTGCCGCACCACGCGAGGAGACCGCCGGCCAATGGGCTCTGGTGGAGCGTCCGACGCTGGGCGGGGCCATCGGCGCTCGGGCCGCGGATACGAGGCGGCTTTACTCACTTTGCCGGGCTGCGGACCCCGAGGCTGCGACCCCTTGGCACCCCGGGACCCTGGAGCCCGGGGCCTGGGACGGCGTCCGATGGGCGTCCGGCGCCGACCCTGCCTGCAGCCTCTCCGCCGCTGCCCCAGTTCTAGGTTGTCTCATCACCGCCCGCAGCTCCGCGGTGTGCGGATCCTGTGCGCAGTCCCGCCGCACAACGTTACACAAACTGCGGCTTGTGGGCTGGATGCACGTCCAGTGTATTTACCACCTACCATAGGCTGTACTGCTGCCTTATTACATCCCCACCATACCCATACTCAGGCTACCGGCACCTATCTCAGAAGAGGCAGCAAGTTCAGAGAAGTCCAGTTTAAGTAATTTTAAAAGATGCGTTGGCCACAGTGTTTCCATTGGTAAACTGCGTGGGGACACAGGAGGTGACAATCCAGCGCGATAAGTGCTGTTACACCCTAAACTGGGTAAGTGGTACAGGTGGAAGATTTCGGTAGGTACTGGCGGCTACTATGAGCCAGAGGGTATCAGACCAAGCTGTGGGAGGGCTGGCCCTGGGGGCTGGTACTGCAGGCAACATGGAGCCCTGCCTCCTGTGGCAGAAATGCACTGATGCTTGGAAGCAAGATAGGGAGTGGAATGGGGGAAATAGGTGTAGTTAGAAAAGGAGGTTACCTCGGCCAGGTAGAGGCCATGAGGATGGAGAAGTAGGCGGTCAGCAACCATTCAGGGGTATGATTTGTAGCACCTGGTGATTGGTGGATTTGGGGGCGGGAGAAGGAACATAGGAAAACCAAGGACAACGGCAGGTTTCTGGCTTACCAGGTGGTGCCCTTCACTTGGCATTGGGGCAGGACAAGACGAGGGTTTGCGGAGTCCTTCAGCGAGCAGTGTTTCAGGTTCTGGGGACTAGTGAACGGGACTGGCCAAGTCCCTGCCATGATGGGATTTAACAAAGCCAACAAAGACAACTGCTATCAAACACACTGACGTACAGGAGCCTAGCAGTGACGAATGCTGTGAAGAGAAGATGAGGCAGAGCAGGACAGTGCCAGGATGTTGGGCGCTGCTTGGATAGGGGGCCTGGGAGGGAGAAGCAGTGAGAAGATGCCCAGAAGGGAGAGGCCGGGGCAGAGGGAGGACAGGCTTAGCACTCACCTGCGGGGATCCCGGGCTCTGTGCGGTCCTTGTTGAGGACGACTGGTGCCAAGCCAGGAGATGGAGCGTCTTGTCAATGGGTTTCAGCTCTGGGCAAGGTCAGTATGGTCCATTGTGACCAAAGAAATGATAGTAGAACATTCTTGGGGTGAAAGGGTTATACCCAACTTTATCTCCACGGTGGCAGGTCAATCACTAAAAATCTCATCCACTCAGAGCAAGTCTGCATGCAGCAAGCCAGTCTCTGCCTCTTGGCCTCTCTGCCCACACAGCCGTCCCCTGGGCCTCTGTCCTTGGCGCTGCCACCACTTCAGCCTCTGCTCTGCTCTCGCAGCCTCGCAGCTGTGCTACCGCATCACCCAGAGCACAGGGCGGAGCTCTATATAGAGTCAATAGCAACGTATTGCCCACACGTGTGTAGTGAGATAGCCAACCAGGACCGAGTGAGTATCCTGGACACAGGAACTTTCATTTTACCCACACGAAGGCACTCAGGTATTTTACTGGAAGTTCTGTATACAGAACTGCCAAGTAGGTGAAGAACCGGAAGGGGGCGCGGAGCAGCAGCTACTCCTAACACGGGGGCACAGGGACGAGGGCAGCCTGGCCGAGGCCCCGCAGAGCTGGAGCTCAGGCCTGCTAGGACGCACAGCGTTTGCCGAATAAAGTTGCTGGCCAGGGAGCCTCCTCCTCCTCCGTTCTCGCCCTCTCGCACCTGCAAGGAGCCCGCCAACCAGACGAGAGGCGGGGGCTGGCAGGGCACCGCCCCCCCGTCGCAAACCAGAGCACCGGAAGTTGGGTCTGGACTACGGAGTGAGAGCATTAGACATGTGGATTGGGTGGGATTTGCCGCGTTACTTGAGCTTTGGTTTACGCATTCAATTCCTATGTATTTGTACCTACAACATTTGAGAAAAGGAGTTCAAACTTCATAGTTAAAGAGTGTTAAAGTAAAACATAAGGTGCACAAATCTCAAATGAACTTGAGGTTTTACATATCTATTAATGATATGCTGGTAAATGGTTAACTGTCCCTATGGCAAGGGGGACTGGGGACCTGCAGCGTTTGACTGTTTCCGTGGTGTAAATACTCCCACCAGGACCAGGGGAGTTTCAGGATACCAACCGAAGGTCACTGAACAGTGGCCCACCAAGACTGTCCACTGTGCAGATGCAATGGGTGTGGGTAACTTGAGATCAGAGATAATAGTAAAATAATAAGTGATAAATCATAATGAGTATTAACTGTTTCTAATGTAACTTATCCAAATTTATATAACTACAATTTTAATAAAGGGTCAGCTGGCTCCCTAAACTGAAAATTGAACAAGCAGCTCTCACCAGCTGGTTCCAGCACACCACTGCTGAAACTTCTGTAGCCACTGAGCCACTGCCCCTGATCAGGAGAGGATGTTTCCAGCCCTCCAGCCCCCAATACTCCCTGTGCCCCTTCCAGGGCAACACTCACTCCCCTCCACCCCACAGGTAACCGCTAGCCTCCCATTTATCACCACACATTCATAAAATGGAAGTCTACAGTATTCAGCCTTCTCTGATGGCTCTTTCCTCCAACTTAAGGCCTGTGGGAATCATCTGCTATTTTTTTATTGCCGTGTATGTTCAATGTATGACTGTGACTTTATCATGATTTATCCAGTCTCCTGTTGATGAATGTGTGGCTTGTTTCCAAGTTTGGGCGTAATGAGTAGGTGTGAAACAATCTGTGTTGGTGGGGTGTATGCTCACTGCTCTTTGGCACATACCCAGAGGGCAGCTGGACTTTAACTGAGGACTTCAACTATGTTCTCTCTCTGTAGGAACTATTCCCTCCCTCTCTCCACCCACCCCCAAGTGATATTACCACGGGTAGTATTTGACCGTTTCGTACAAAATTGACATTTGTGTAAAATATTATTTTAAGGTATTCCAAATGAGAAATGGTTGTCTTAAAACCAAAAATTAAAAAAGATGCTATTTAGCTAATGCAGCTCCTGAAACTAATTTCACTCTTACTCTTTGTTTAAAATCTTAAAATACAATGAATCTGCTGATACTAAGTTAAGGCTGCAGTTGGACTCTGAACAATGGAAATGAGTAACCTGAAGGAAAGTGGAGTGTTCCCTTCAGTGACAAGTGTAAAATTTGAAAGACAGTAATGTACGTATCTAGCTGAATGAGTCACAGGCACAAACACTAGAGAACCTTCACAAGAAACGTGTTTGTGACAAACACATTTTTATTAAACCCCAAGTCCTGGGTGGTCTACCGCAGAAATGCCCAGTGTTGTCTTTGGAGACTGTTAAACTCCAGGTGCCCTGAGAGAGGTGGCCCACTGCACCGCAGCTGACATGCATGGCACCACCTAGCCTGATGGAAGTGGCATCTGTGCTGCAGATAAAATGGAACTTTGTGAGGGTTAAAGGCCCCAGTTGACTTTTGAACCCAAGTCTGTCTGACGCTGGCGTCCACACCAACCACCTTTCCTCTGCTCAGTACCTAGAATAAGCAGGGCCTAAGAGAGAGCACACATGAAGCTAAGTGAAGGCAGGTACCCGCATCTGCCAGGGGCCACTTTTGGTGGGTGTCAGGGACCCACAGAGATAGCTGTGGCCCCTGTTGGCATCCCCTTGCCGAGCTGGGGTGCCCAGGATCAGGGGATGCTCCAATAGTTCCTCCTTGTTCAGGGGCACATGTGGACTGTCTTCAAGTCCCTGAAGCTGCAAATATTCAGGGAACTCAGGATGGGTGAGCCCTGGAAATCAAGGCACCTCCACGATCATGTCCTTTGTCAGACTGCTCCTTCCCAGGAGTGAGTGCCAGAGGAGGAAGGGGAGAAGCACAACTCGCGCAGAACAGCCCCTCAGGGTCAGGTGCCCCCTCCAGGCAGTAGGGTGCATGTCCAGACCATCTGCCCTTCTGTGTGTCTGTCCCTCGCAGTCACTCACAAGGACCACACAGAGCTCTGGTGTCATTTCTTTAATATATAATTTTATTTCTGGTTATAGAAACAAATGCTAAGAGGAGAAACAAAACTTCCCCATCCACATACAACAATTTAATAGATAAAAGAACAGTTAAAAAAGAAAAACAAAAAGTAGAAATCTTAAACTTTGTTATAGCTTTAAAACATTAATGTCTGATACAATTAGAAATCACATTCAGATCTCAAACTTTAAAAAAAAAGTATGGCTCCTTATTAAAAAAATACTGTATCCCATTTGAAATGAAAATATAGGCTGGCCCAGCTGTCTGATGAGGGCGCTGGCCCCCTGCCACTGGGCGGAGTGTTTGCACTCCTTGCTAGGTCTCCATGGGCCACACTTACTTACAGGTGATGGAACAACGCAGTGCGACGTGACCTGACTTCACACCCAGCACTGGCTTGGGAACCCAGATTTCCATGTTACAGGATACCACTGCTTTTTAAAGCACTGATTATTAAACATACTGTGAAAAATACTTTAGACAGCAACTGTAAAAAAAACACATTCATACACACATACACACACACACCCCTAACACCGCCCCCCAGATTATCTTTACAGAATTATCAATCAGATAAGAAAGAAAAATCTCAGTATGGGGTTGAATACTCCCTCACACGCACAGAGTTGCTGGGCATTTTGGA